AGCCATCCCAGAATCCTTCGGGCTTGCTCTTCGGGGGCGCCATGAGCACTGGCTCTGTGGTGTGGGGGAGAGGGGTGCTCTGAGCATGACCAGCAGCAAGGGGACAGGAACCTGCATGCGCTCATCACCATTCCCATGGGGGTGGCATGATTTGCACCCCTAGAGAGGGCGTCCAGCTCTCGGAGGGAATGCATGACAGGGCTGGGCCAGGCCAGCAATCAGGGCAGGGAGGAGGGGTCCCCCAGGCCCTGTGCAGATGGTGAGGGAAGCACGAGTCACATGGGTAGCAAACTTCCCCAAAGTCAGACAGCCCTTCAGTAACAGGCGGGACACCTTGAGCAAGGAGAAACACAGGGCTGGAGAACAGGGATTGCTGGGAATGAGCCAGGTTAGGCTGTGGGCTAGTCTCCCCTGGGGCGTGGGGAAGGTCCCGTTGCTCCGGATACTTTCAGCTAGACTGGACAAGGCACTAGCAAGTGGGGAATGCCTTGCCCTGTCCTGGGGATGGGCTAGGTGGGACCTGTCCAGCCAGGAAATGCAGTCGGGCTTCGCCAGCTGAGCCTGTTGGAAATGTGACCTTCTCCTAGTCGTGATGTGGCTTCTGTTATCTCTTACTTCCCTGATCCTTAAAACGGGGGGAGACCCTGGCCCTGGAGCAATGTCACAGGGGCAGGGGGCTGCTGGAGACTTATTGACAAGGGACAGATGGGCTCGAGGAATGCTGTACAGTAAAGCTGGCTGCCACCAAGGGCCGCCCCCCCCCACCTCCAGAATCAGGTCAGGACCAGCCTGTGCATGGAGGGAGAAACCTCTCCCTTCCACTCTCTGCAATCCAAATGCTGTGCTCTTCTCTACCAAACCACTCACAGGAGGTGTCATTCTCCATACCTTACCCAGAGAGAAACTGAGGCCTGGTGCGAGGCAGTGACTCGCCCGAGGACCTGCAACATGCAGTTCAGCCCCTTGTATGTATGCATAATGACATGATTGCATGCTATGCTTTCCCTCGGCCCCTGGCCCCGTTCAGGGCACAGGACGGACCTGCTCGGGGTTGTGTCCTGGTTGTGTAGTGAATAGTAGTGCCCTAGGAGTCTGGCTGCAGCTCCAGCACTCCTTGGGAGTGGGGTGGGGCTTTCTCTTGTTACACAAACCTCCACATCCCCACTACCCAAAAGGTCCCAGAGGTGAGACTGAAGGACATGGCTAAATTGTGTAACTGGGGGGGAATCTCTTCCTTGTTTTTAAGATGGGGGAGAAAAGCAAGAGAGAGAGACCCATTTAGCTCTTCCCATCCCAGAAGGGAGGTGTTTCACAAGCTTTGTCCTCCAATGAGAGGCAATCTATGAATTCTCCTGACTCATTCTCATACCACCATGCGCATGTCCCCCTTCATTGGGCTGCTTGGTAGTCTTTCACAAAGCCTGTCTAACTATGTCATGCCTCAGCTATCAGAGTGTCCTGCTCAAATGCACTCATGTGCGCACAGGCACATATTATTTGTTTAATCAAAGGGGCCCAAATGCCACCTCACCATCTTCTGGGACCTGAGAAGTAGGAAGGAAGCCAGTGAAAGTCTCCCACCATCACCACCATTCACTCCCTCTGGAATCTCAAGCAAGCCAATCACACCCCCAAGCAGGGCTGTTTGGAGCTTGTTGGGAAGTTGATATTTTCCCCCATGAAAATTGTATGATGAAAACAAAACATTTTTCGTTTTTGTCAAAAATTGCCTTTGAATTTTTTGGGCTTTTCATCAAAAAATGGAAACGCTTTTTTTTTCTGCAGTGTTTGACAATGGAAATGTTGGGTTCTGTGGGTTGGTTTGGTTTTTTTCCCACAACATGACAACCAAAATAATTTTTTCTACAAAAATGTCCATTTGGTTGCAAAAGCTGTTTTCTGTCCCCACAAAAAATGTGTTGATGGAAAAATTTTGCCCAGCTCTATGGTATTGCAGGCTGCTGATGGATCGAATGATTTCAGCATGGACACATTGGCCCTACCCTCAGCTGGTTTGCCTTCCTTGATCCTTTTCTTTCCCTGGGCTAAGCTGGTTCCCCGTCATAAGTTAGAGCAGTCTGAGGACTGTTCTAGTTTCCAGTGGCTGCCGGGGGCCCGAAGGCCAGCAGCTGGGGAGCTAACAGAGTGGGCAGAACCCTGGTTTGGCCGTTCCCAAGGCAGGATTTCAGAGGAGCTGTCTCTGGGTGGACAATACCTGGCCGCACTCGCTGCTTGGCTTTGGAGTTCATTAGTTTGGGTATGTTTGAGAGCATGAATGGCTTTGCAGAGCCAGCCTGCCTCTGGGGTGAGCGCTCAGCCCTGCCACACAAGAGACAAATCGTTGGGGTCCAATCCACCCTCCCCAAGATCCCACTGGGGGGAAATCAGAGCTCCTCGTATTCTGCTGTGGGGAGTCAGCCCCTGGCACTTTGTGGCTTGCACAGTTGCCAACTTTCACGGGGTAAATAAGCACCCCGACTTTCACAATAAGCCAAAAATCAAGCTAATCCCATTTCAAAACAAGGCCGAAACAAACCAATCCCTAAGAACCCCAACACTCTATGTGACTAGATCCCCCCGGCGTGCAGTCTGGGACTGTGGTGGGCCTGCTGTGCACCCCTGACTCTCTCCCACCCTTGCCCCTGCTTCCCCCCTCCCCCTTTGCCCCTGCTTCCCAGGAGCCAATCAAAAAGAAGCAACAAGCTACAGGCCAAACAAGCAACAAGCTACAAGCCAAAAACTAGCCAACAGGCAACTCACAAGCCAATTAAGCCAAAAATAAGCCCAATTTCTGCGTTTTTTTTCCATGGGTTTGGCCTGTCTGGTGGCTTGATCCTGCATGGTGCTGAGGGCCCCCCGCTGCTGCTCAGGAATGTTCAGTGCCTTGGCAGGAACAAGCGTTTGCTGCTTTGCCACCAGGGACTGGAGCAGTGCCCCGAGCTCAGTGGTGCTGAGTGGTAAGGGATTCCCTCTGCCACAGGAGCACCCCTCCCCAGGAGGCCTTGAAGCACAGAGGCAGTACAGGGAGAATGTGTGTGGGGATGGGGGAGGTATAATGGAGATTAAAGCCAAAGAAGCAATTGCAACGGTGAAAACAAAGCACGATACTGGAATATGCCAGGGACCATTTTATTTAAATATGTCAGTTCGTTTATTGGTCAATAATACAACAAAAGACCTTTTATTGTGGATCTAGTCATTTAATCATAGTGTAGTTATCATGGCTTTAACACCGTGAGTTAGATTTTAGAGATAAAGGGATACTGAAAAAGCTGGAAGCATGAGCTGAGCTGAGATCTTTCACTCTATTTTTCCTAGAGGAGTCAGGTCCGTGCCAATCCAGACCTCTGCACCTCCATGATACTCACAACAAGTTTGCTTGCCAATAGCAACCCTCTTGCTGTCTCTGATTACTAGTGAGCCCTGCAGGGGTTGAGAGGAAGGATGGTCTTGTGGTTAAGTTGTTGGCTAGGGCTCAGGAGGCCTGGGTTTAAATCCTGAGACTGTTCCAGAATCCCCGTGTGACCTTGGACAAGCCAGTGAATTGCTCTGTGCCTCAGTTTCCCATCTGTACAGTGAGGATAACAATAGTTCCTTTCTGCCACCCTTGTCTGTTTAGATTGTAAACTCTTCAGGGCAGGGAGTATCTGTGTATGTACAGCACCTGGCACGATGGGGTTCCAATCTGTGTACCCAGTTACCCAGTGTAATACTAATTATAAAAAGAATGCCGTCTGTTCATTGTGTCTAAATTACCGAGACTGCTTTGAAAATCTCAACCATTAGTGTGATTAAATATTAAGACAAACGCCTGTGCCTCTCCTCTCAGCCAGACTGTAACGGGCCAGAACATTTATCACACGTGGAAGAAAAACAAATAGCATTTGCAATGTTTAACAATAGTGAACAGTAACAAAGGAGACAGAGCTAGTGGCATTCTCAATGGCTCTGTCCATTCCAAGGTCAAATTCTGCTCTCTGCCTCCTGGGTGCCTCCGCTGGGAGGTGCGGTTCTGTCACTGAGAGCAGAATTTGGCTCCTAATGTTTTTGCAAGAGATGCTTCACATTGAAAATCCTGCAGACTAGAGCCGTTTCCCAGTGCAGTGTCTAGCAATACAGACACCGAAAGGAAACAGTGCTTTCACAACCCCTGAGGACAAGGGCAGAGCAGATAACGCTTATTGGTTTGGTTTTTACAAATAATACAGCATGTAGAAAAGGGAAAGCCCATACAAAGGAAAGTAACTAGCACGCTGCATTTTTTTTTTGCTGGAAAACTGTTTTGTGCAAAAAAAATCCCCAGCTCTAGTTAGCAGTTCTGCCTCCCCTCTAGGTGCTCTGACCTCCCCCTCTTTGTGAATTACATGGTTCTCTTGGTGACCATGCACAGAACAAACTCCTTGTGCACTACTGTGAAAGTAGCGATAAAAATCTCTTGGCCTATATGCACGAAATATAGATCTATGTATTTACAACATTCACAGAACATTCTGAAGAGCTATTTACACCTGAGTGAGTACGTTTTGCTGGCCAGCATTGGCCCAGTTCGGACAAAGCTGTGGCGGGGTTGCCAGGGGAAGGAAACGTCCACGAAATTCCCCTTGCAGAGCTTGTCTTCCCAGATTCGCCGATCAGGGTGGGGTTTAATGTCAAGGAGGGTGTTGTGCATTTCCCACAGCCCTGCCTTTATCCTCCTCAGTCTTCTTCTCAGCCTTCTCTAGTGAGGGCTGCATGGAAAGGCCAGGTCAGAATCCCAAGAGGACAGCACCACGCGGGCAGCTTGATCCCCGCCATGCATTAATCGGTGGGTGGGTGATGACCTGAGCCTTTGTCCTTATAAGCACTTAGACTTCAAATCCTTGGGGATTGGTTCCTGGCTGCACAGGGCTTATTCCCTGCCACCCCCAGGGTGGGACGAGCCTTGAGTCCCATGTTGGTAGCCTGGCCATGCTCATCACTGAGCTGCAGGATCTCTGTCACCCAGAGGAGAAGAGCTTGCTTCAGTTGCAGCCACATTCCTCGATGATCATGTCTTCATGGTGGCGGAGGACGACTTCCCCTTTCTCATAGTACAGCATGGAGAGGGGGCTCATCTTGACTGGAGCACAGGCTGGACAGGGCACCCGGTTGGGCTGGTACAGCTTCAGCAAACTCTGTTGGGAAAGGGGAAGGCGTTAGTCACCTGGCTTGTACCAATGCAGCCTGTGGCCAAGGTTTACCAACAAGTCTAGTGACTGTGGGTGCCCCACTTGAGACCCCTTACAGAGGCCTGATTCTCAGAAAGTGCTGAGCACCCCCCCCCCGGGAATCCGGCCCTGGCAAGTCCTCTCTAGCCGTGCACCCAAAATCACTAGTCCCTTTGGAAAACGGCCAGTCCTGGTAGCACACACAAGCTCCAACCATGAACCAGGACCCCCCTTGTGCAAGGTGCTGTACAAACAGAACAAAAGCTGCTCCCTGCCCCCAAATAGTCCTTGTTCTGTGAGTAGCCCTGCTGAAATCGGTGAGGTCACTCCTAGAGCACGGTACCCACTCAACAGCAGTATGGGTGGCCCTTAAATAGCCTGGATGCACCAATGTTCCCAGGATAGGACCTGCTGCAGGTAAAGGAGCCAACCCTTGCACAGAACCCCATTGGCTGCAGGGCCTGACTGATATTCCTGTGGCACGAAGGAGCTGCTTTCAGGGTGATGCTTAGGCCAGCGGATAGCAACTGCTTGAGAACCTCCCCGTCACCCCAGTCTTAATTCACCCCAATGTGTTCAGGTGGCAGAAGCCCTGTGCCCTGAGACATTTTAAAACCAGACTAAACCATACACTAAAAAGCATAGGGGCCAATCCTGCAGTGGCTTTAGGATGGGAACGGGGACATGGACTGTGGACTTAATGGGTCCTTCCCGTTTCGAATGTCTCTGGTTCTAGGATGCTGTGGTTGGCTTAGCAGCTCACGTGAAACAGAACTTGGGAAACTGCCCACTATTCTTTGTGTTTCACTGTAATCTCCATGCGCATCAGACCACACCCTGCACAGAGCCAGGGGACAGCTCATCCCGTAGTGCTGGGGGGCAGTTCAGGGAACCTCTGCAGGAAACCTCTGCTCTAGCAGAGAGCAAGAGGCCTCATTTACCTGAATATATGCATGGTTAGTTGGTTTGAAGGTCTCATCCACGGGCGCTGGGCACTCTCCCTCACACCGGTAGGCGTTGTACTTCTTGGGGTAGACGATCCAGCTTCCCCAGCCGGTCTGCTCAAAGTTCACGATCATATCTACCCTCCTGCACAGAGACCTGCCTTCCTCCCCAAGGCCCGGGGTGGAGAGGTCGGCCATTTTAATCCTTTGCCTCTCCTGCTTGTTCCGGCGGTGCCGGCGGTTCCCCAGCTCTTTGGCAGCGTTGTCAATCATGACATGCTTGGAGGTCTCCGCAGTTCTGATGAGGGTGGATGCCCGGGAGGGCTCTGCTGAAGGTTTATCTTTGGAGAAGACAACCAGCAGGACCTTGTCTGTCACACCATGGGACACGGCTGGCTCCGCCTTGCTGGAGCCACTGGAATTCTGCACACCCGTCGATCCAGTGGCATTGCTGTCTGACCCGGTCCTCTCCTCCCTCTCCTGCCCCTGGGAGCCCTGAGCATCTGCATGCTTCCCATTGCCGGAGGCCACCCCTTGGTGGAGCCAGGACTGAAGCAAGCTGGTGATGTTGAACACTCTCCAGGAGGAGTGGCTGACAGCAGGACTGCTGGTGAAGGTGCCCAGGAAGAGCCTGTCCACGCGGGTCTGGTTGCCCTGGTGCTTGCGCTCGTGGCTGTGGTAGATGTCCACCGTCACATTGTGGGACTGGGGGAAGGACGGCAGGCGGACCCGCAGCTCGGCCAGCCTCACCTCATGGCTGCCGGAGATGGAGGTCATGTCGAAAGAGAGAGTCCAGTGATCCCCAGCCTGGAGAGAACCTGCAAGAGACCAACACAGTGCCAGAGGTGAGGGACCTGCCCAGCACAAAGCATTCGCCCCACAGCCCTTTCTGGGGACTGTAAAGAATCCAGGGGTTGCCCACGGGGCACTGGTACTGCAGTGAGGGGCGGGCAGAGCTGCAATGCCCCCAGGAGAGCACTGGGGGGCACAATGCCTCCTGGAGCTTCTGGGGGTGCAGCTGCTCTGTGCCTGCTCACACAGTCCCTCCCCCCCCCATGCCCACGAAGTCTAGTCCTGCTGCTTGGTGCAGGGGGGAGCAGAGCAATGGGCCAGGCCTGGGGGAGCAGGCCTCTCGCTGTCACAGTGGTCATGTCCCCCAGGTGTGGGATGCTTTGCCCCATTCCAATGGATCTCCCCCAGTCTGGACCCAGATTTACCCCCCTACTCCCGACATGTGGAGTCGTATCTTGTTTATTGGTTTAATTTGCTAGGGCTGGGTTCTGCCTGGCCTCCCAGGGTGGCACAGCGGGTAGGGGCAGAGGGGGCAAGGAGCCTTCTCCACCTTGTTTACATGGGCCAGGGAGAACTGCCGCTCTGTGCTGGGTGAGAGAGCACAGGCCCCAGCTCCATTCTTCACCCCGAGGCACCAGCCACCTTGCCTGGCCTTCACACAGGAGAGCATGCTGCCCCTCACTAGGGGAGGTAGGAATAGACCCACAGCATCTGCACCCCGCATGGCGCCAAGAGATATCTGCCTAGTGCTGGCCCTGGGGCACTGCAGTGCCACCCTGTCCTGGCCTCGCTGGGGGCTGGGCCTTGGTGGTCCTGGCCAGCCCTTTTCTATAGTATGTATTTAGATGTACCGCTCTCTAAAGGCACAAAGCCAACCCTCCCTGGGCCAAATGAGCTACGAAGTGACGCAGCAGCTTCCCCAGAGCCAGGAAATACGGCAGGAATGAACCCCAAACTGCACCGTCCCTTACCCCACCAATACCAGCCCCGCAGCAGCAGCTGAGGCCTTGGCTACACGTGTAGTCGCGCAGCCAGCGCTGCGAGAGCTCTCTCGCAGCGCTGCAAGTACTCCACCTCTCCGAGGGGAATAGCTTGCAGCGCTGCAGGCTCTGATTACACTGGCGCTTTACAGCGCTGCACTCGCTGCGCTCGGGGGGGGGGCGTTTTCACACCCCTGAGCGCAGCAAGTTGCAGCGCTGTACAGCGCCAGTGTAGCCAAGGCCTGAGGGTTTAATGCACCCCACTAGTGCAGTCTAATACTAAATGATGGTCATACCCCCAGCAAGAGGGGCAGATCTAATCCTATGCCCTCTGCTCTACAGGAGGTCAAACTGCGACTCCTCCCCATATCCACCAGCTGCTTCTCCCAGCATCCCTTCCACCTTACCCCAACTGAGCTGCAGCCAGCTTGCCCTGACCCGGGCTCCAGTCTCTACTGAGCACTGATTAACACAGTCCTGCAGTTAATGAGGGCTGGGGGTTCAAGGAACCTCTAAGGGAATGAGTGGTCAAAATCTCATTACAAATCAATGGGATTGTGGCTTCTAATTCACTTAGACACCTTTGAAAATCCCAGCCTAAGTAGTTTCCTTTTGTTGGGTTGTTTGAAAATGTAAAGCACCATAGCATCCACCAATCAGCCAGGCGAGGCTTCGAGATCCCATTCATTCCCATAGGATCCGAGTGCTGCATAAATACCTACTTCTCACCTAGTGCTTTTCATCAGTCGTTCTCAAAACCCTTTGCAAAGGGGATGGGGAAACTGAGGCACAGAGCAGTAACGTGACTTGCCCACGGTCACTCAGCAGAGCAGTGGCAGAGCTGGGACTAGAGCGGAGTCCTTGCCCAGGGGTCTAGCTTCTACCCCACACTGCCTCCCGATAGAATTGTTCATTAATGCTGTTCATGCTGTTGCTATTGGGTAAAATTTGCAAATTTTACCCAAGTGACTTAGGGTAGGTGCTTTTGAAAAAGCTCCCTGTTGTCAGTTATTTACAGCATTAACAATATAAAGTCATGCGACTTAAGAGTGGAGAAAACAGGAATTATGCTGATGGGAAGAAGCCCCACCCTTATTCCAAAGCACTAGAATAAGGTTTGCCAGGGCGTCTGTTTCCTTCCTTCTAGTAACTTTGCTAGGTGGTTGGTTATTTAAAACTTTCCTGGATCTGGCCATGCTTGCTTCTGCAGCTATTTTAAAGGCTTTGCTTGTCATCATACAGTCTTTGTTCAGAATCTGAGGCCACTGCCGCTGCAGTCGGCAGGCCGAGGGCTCCCATGAATGGAGTGAGAAATGCAATGCCCACCTGTGTGCTAAGGCTTTGAAAACTGCCTTGTGAATTAGACAGTCTGCTCCCTTCGCCTTCCCCAGGGGCTGTTCTCCTTGCTGTGTCCACGTTCCCCTTTGCATCCAATAAGCAGTTAGTTAAAATCACTGCACTCTGCCCCTAAATACTGCAATAGCACCCAGATTCTACAGCCTGAGACGACACTGGCGTGTTGAAGGGCACTAGCCAATCTCCCTGATCCCACGCTGGCCTTTGGCAGGCTAAGGAAGGGAACTACTCCTCTGTACAAAGATTTGCCTTTCCAAATAACCTGCCAGCCAAAGTTTGGATACCAAGGGCAACACCTTAGCTTTTCAACCACTGGCAGGGGAAGCCAGGGCAAGCCTCCTCCCACTGCAGAGTTCAGGATCCAGGCTCAGGACTGATCCCTTCAGAGCAAGACACCCCCACCCCGCCTCCTCCATCCACGGTTCTCTCCCTCTCTCCCCCCACATGCCACCCGTTAACAAAACAGCAACTGGCTATTGCCCAAGCTTGTTCCTGCCAGATGTCAAAACAGTACAGATGTGGATTGGGTCCCCATGGGGTCCCTGCTTCACAGACGTCTGGGGTCCCAATCCACAAAAGCAATGGATAGAAGCACTGGAATAGCCAAGGCCCTACAGGGAAGAGTCTGATAAGCAGCAATCAGTCAATGAGGTACTGACAAACCTGAGGGCTCAACCCCCATCACCGTATTGCTGCTGCTGAGCCAGGTCCTAGGGCAAGCTAGAAACACAGGGAAGGAAGAAAGGAAAAAAAGAAAGAAAAAGAATAAATGAACATCACCTACTTCTAGCCACGAGGCTTAAGACTGAGTCAGATTCCTGCAGTGCTGATGTCTCCATGGTGGGCTGTCCCAGGTGATTCCCAATGACCAGAGATCTGTACAGCTGCATCATGTACAACGGGTACCGGAGAGCAGGGTGTGGGTGCCGGAAGCCACGGACTGTAGACAAATTCTTTAGCCCTGGGCTAGGTCCTGCTGTATGTAACTGCTGCTCATCCTTCTGCTGTGAGACCCCGGTCAGCTCTGATGTGCCCAGCTGCATGAGGATGAGAGCCCAACACACCAGCTCCAAGCCACACATGTTCCTGGGTGGCATAGCTGCTGCTGCTCTCTGAACTAAGCTTCTTACACTTCCCTCTGGCTCCTTTCAACACCCGGAGCTGTCTGGCTCTCCGAGTGTCTTTCCTCTTCACTGCTGCACTATATACCTGAGGCTCCCTGAGCAGGCTCTAGCCTGCAACCCTTTGATGTCAACACTCCCTCCATCCTGAGTCCAGAGCTGTCAAACCTTCTACAGTCTCCACATGGTCCCTATTCTTATGCAACCCCTCCCTCTAATGAGGAAGTGATGGGAAGACACACAGAGCAGGTGATTAATTACCTCTCAAAACTCTTCCCCATTATGCATTGGCCCAAACTGGAATGTGGCCTGAGTGATCATTTCCCAAGGGCCTGAGAATGGTCAGATCCTGAAATTCCCCTTCATCCTGGTGCATTTGCTGGTGGCTTCTACTTTTACACTTTGCCCAGAGAGAGGGAATCTGGATTTGGGTGGCAATGTCTCTGCTTGTTAGAAGCTCATGATTTTAGTCTGGGTGATTGCTGTGTGACACTTGTGAAAAGGGGGCTGTGGAGGTGAAGGGTGAATTGTTTTATTTGGGACACTTTGCAGTGCAATAAGTGCAAAATAAAGTTATTTAGAGCATGGAAACAGGCTGGCTGCTTTTAACAGCAGCAAACTGGAAGTGAAGTGTCATGAGAGACAATATAAAGCTAAATCTTTTATGATAAGGAAAGCACCCAAGATTGCAGAAGAACAAAGAGGAGAGAGAAGACCAGGGAATTTCACTCCCTGTTTTTGCTTGTTGCTTTAGTTTTGTAAAGAACCTACCAGCTCCTTTTTACTGAGAGTCCCATTAGAAAATAGAATTCTCTCTGTATGCCCATTCTGGAGTGAAGTTAGACAATAACTGAATTTCTCTAACCAATAAGAGGAAGCAAAATGCTTTTTTGAAAACATCCCAGTTTCAAAGCAGAATTTCGTCTCTCTTCTTCAACCGGGCAGAGAAATTCACATCAGTAACATGCCCTGAGGTCAAAGTTTGGTCCTGTGTTCAGTCTTGTTTACGTTGTGCCGTACTATTTTATAAATCAGTAGAGTCCTCTTGAGTAACACTTTTTACAGCAGCACTGTCACATTGCCAAGCATTTCCCCAGTATCCATCACGGTGCTGGGAGAGCGCTGTGCTTCTGGAAGTGCTCCTGTCACATGAGGCATCCTATGTGGCCCCTTGTTTTTATGGCATGTTTCATAAAGAGTAGGGGCGCTGATCGAGTCCTGGCCAAATTCCAATTAGGATAATTCTATTCTGCCTCCCTAAATTCCACCCCAAGCATTTTCAGTCAGATAGAATACTCTCCTGCTAACAATAGGATTATTTATTGAGTAAAATGCTGCTCCGTGTGAGAAGGGGGATCAGAACCTGGCTTGGGGAGAGTAAGGACATACTGGGTGTTTGTGGGAAAAGTCAGGAATTGAACAGAGATCTCCCAAGTCCCAGTCTACTGCCTTATATCTAAAACTAAATCAGGCTCCTAAATCTTTATATCCTATCTATCTACTGTGCAAGTTTTATTTATTGTACGATGCCATCTGAAGCAGGTATATTAGAGGACAATCATGAGTGTAATTTAGTCCCTAGCCTTGATGGAATAATACATGTGTAAGGTCTATAGGGAACTGTCTGGCTCCATGTGATTCAATGGATCTTTCCGCTAACTCAGAGTTCCAAAGGTAAGCTCTGGGGTACAGAGATCTCTTGTGGATTTGCCACTCCCTGAAGGATTTTGGACCCATAAGCCAGCAATCCTGTATCCATTTAAGGACCCAGTGGTTTCCTGTGTGGAAGCTTATGGAGGAAATTTGAGTGCCGGATCTGGTCTTGTGTCATTTTTCCCCCCGATCTGTGATGGGCATAAACTGGATAATAATCTATGGAATAAAAACATTTGTTTGCTTAATCCAGTCGTACTTTGACACAAACTGCTGCTGTAGGTGAGGAATATTCTTTGCCTTGCAGCTCTCCAGTTGGAGGGGCCATGAGGGAATGTTTCGATTCCTGCTCCACCACAGACTTCCCGTGTGACCATGGGAAGTCGCTGAGTCGGTCTGTGCCCCAGCTCTATCCGTATGATGGGGACAAGACCACTTCCTTCCTCACAGAGGTGTGGTGAGGATAAATTCACTAGACTGTGAGGCACTCGGTGAGGCGGGCCATACCTAACATAAATAAATGGAGATGGCCCATCCGTAATAGGAGAAGAAGCGTATGTCCTGGGTCAGGTCTTTCACCACCAAGCTTGCCCCCTGAAACCAACGTCTGCCACTGCTCTAACCAAATCTGTGCCCTTGGAAACCCACCTCTCCCCAAAGAAACAGACCAGTGCCCTGGCTTCCTGCTCTTCATTTAATAACCCTCAAGGACTCTCCAGCCAGCTACCATAATGAGATCTGCAGCAGCAAGCCCAGCCACCAAACGCCAACCCCTCCCAACAGAGGGGAGGAAGCTGTGACTCTAGGAAGAAGGGCACCAGCCTCTCCGGTGCTCAGAGGTGTTCTCTACGGCACACTCTGTTCTCCCAGCCAGTCATTGGCAATAGCCCTGCCAATACGCCTCCACCCTACATGAAAGAATCCATGCTTGTTCTGATGCTTCAGATCTCACTTGAATGTCCAATCAACTTCAAAGCAAATCCTTTCATCTTGATTTGAAGGTAAGTTCCAGCATTGATTCACAATCCACTCGAGTTTGTTTACTTTGTTTCCTTTCATAGTGCCTCGCGCCTTGGCAACGTGACGCCACGTGTCTGGAACCTGCATCTGACCTTGCGTCTGCCACGGGCAGCAGAGGAGCCGCAGTCGTCACTACTAGAAGCAACGATGCCCCACCCATCAGATTGCAAGGTAAGGCAAGACCGCTAAAAGCTCATTGGAGGCTAACCCAAACAATGGTCCAGATTCATCCCTGGCACAATCCCATTTACAGAGGTCAATTTGATCCATTATGCTAAGTTCTGAAGGCTGCTGAATGCAACTTCAGTGGACCACCAAGGAGAGTGGGTTACAAAGGCGGAGGGCCTCCTAATGAGACATCCCTTCCAGTGGCCCTGGAGAGTTCAGCCCCAGGACCAAGAGCCTCCCAGCTCACCTTAGCTGTTGCAATGGGATATAAAGCGAGAGGCATCTCTGAGTTAGTGGGTCCCAGACAGCTTAGCGCAGATTGTCACCAACAGCTTCATGGCACCCTCAAATGAACAGGAAGCCAGTACCAAGACCTGAACATGGGTGCAATAGGACCATAGTGGCCTGCCCTGCTTAGATCATCTGGGTATATCTAATTTAACCAATTCCCTGCCATTGCAGGGGTTACCCCGGTCCCTCCTAATCTCTGCCTGTGTCATACAACAGTTTAGTCTCCTGAGGGCTGTAATATTTTGGTCTAATGCAGGTTGTTGTGGTTGGTGTGCTGTGGCTGGGTGGGGTTTAGTGGCCTGTGGTATACAGGAGACCAGATGATATGGTCCGGTTAGGCCAGAAGAGACCAAACTTTATGGCTCTGTCAGAAGGCAGATGGCTGCATTGCATTGCATGGCAAAGGCATGGAAGTCCATTGTGAGGCCACCATCTCTTGGCCAGTCACGGATGGGGAAAGGTCCTTGGGCCCATGAGCTGTGATGGATCCAACTGGAGTCCACCTTGCTGAAAGGCAGGCAAACATTCCCAGTATTCCCTTTTGCTGCCATTACCACTGCCACCTCCTTTTGCTTTTGCAGCAGCTGGCTTGCTGGCACCCAGGTCCTTCTATCAGCCACGCACTTTGAATGCTACAGTCTCATTCAGCTTTGATGATGATACTCCTTTTTAGCGTATCCATGCAGCCCAGGCTGTTTCACCATCCCTCCCAGTGTCTTCACACACTGCATTCCTTGAATAGAAGGGGAGAGAAAACCTATCCCTTCATGAGAGAGCAATTGCCTTGTGCTGCCCTCTGGGGTTTCTCACAGAGGCAGAGGTTGGAATCCCTTTCAGAGTGTACACTCTTTGGGCCAGCCATTGTGTCTGCATACAGGAAGGAATGTATGTTTGAGGCAGGATTGGCGATAGTTAAACTGACTCAAATGGAATCGAAGTAAATCTAAATGCAAAATGAAGTAAATCCATTTTTAAAAAATATGCCTTAGGAGTTGTAGAGAAGAATTAGTAATAACTGAAATGGAAGCTGCTAGGTTGATGATCAGATAATGCAGAATAGGCTGGAAAAGCTCTGAGAAAGTGTTGGAAATCAGTGAGTGCCTGGAAAGCAAGTTCTGTCACCTACGTTATGTTTTGCTTTTAGTGTTTAATGCAGCGCACATCTGCCCAACCAACTGTGAGATCAGCCAGGCAGAAGGTTTGAAAGAAATGGTAGAACTTGTCCAACACAGATCAGTAGCTCTAGTGAAACAGAACCTTTTTTTTTTTTTAAATGTATCCCTCTTGCTTATCCCAGAGTGCATATACGTATACCGAAACATTCAGCCCTGACATAAGCAGGTACAACTTTGTGGGTTTCAAGGCTGTTTAAGGAGCAGCTTCAAATATAGCCATGTGTGAACATTTTTAAAAGCACCTAAGTCCTATTTTAAAAAGTGACATGGGCACTTAGGCGCCAGTGGACATCAATAGGAGTTAGGAGCCTAAAAACCCTTATGGCTCTGGGTCTTAGGAGCGTACTTTAAATTCAATGGGGGTTAGGCTCCTAAGTCACTTCACATGCTTTTGAAAATGTTACTCTGGGTCTAAAATTGCAAAGGTAAGATGTTTCTGGGGTCCACTGACCCTAAGGCATCGTAGAAAGATGTCTGTCTGCTACAGACATTTTAAGCTTGGACGTTTTGTGGCAGTATTGTTTGCATGTTTCCCTTTACTTAAGCAAAGTTGTTATTATTCATGGATTCATTTTCCCTAATGCAAATGCAGTGCTGTTATCTCTGGGAACCTATTGTATTACATTGCTTTCTAGCATTCATCTTTCTCCTTCCAGGCACGTCCTCATG